CTATATCTGAAAATTAATTCATTGGCTGTTTACCTGCAATGGAATATGGGAGGTGCTTAACATTTTTCCAAATCAGGTTAGTCAGTTGGGCATTTCAATGTAAATTTGCAAATGTAAGGTATTAAAAAAAAAAAAAAAAAAAAAAAGCCTCTTCTGTTATCTTGGCACTCATATATACATACATATGCCCCAGAGTAGTGCATGTGTGCATGCACACGTGCATGATTACAAAAGAGAATTTATTTTTAAAAAAAACCACATTACAGACTACCAGTACTGCAAATGTCTGTCAAGAATACCCAGCAAATCGGCTGGGTTTTTTTCTGTTTTATTTATTATCAGGCTCGCTCTTGCCAAGGTCTACCTAGAGTGGACAATCAATTAGTCTGAATGAAACAATCCAATTCAAATGTTCTTGACAACAAAGTAAAGAGTTATATCATAAACTTGTTTTGAAATCCACCTTCTCCATATGGATTTTGAAGCAATATAGCCAAGGTAATATACTGAAAAACATGAAAAAATACCAAATATATTACAGTGATTTCTCCCCGCAAAAACAAATTACTTGGACAATTAAGACGTGGAGGTTCTACCTGCGATATTCTTTAGCTTCCTGAAGGACCATTCTTAGCTGGGACATCTTTCAAAGCATTGCTTTTGAGTTTAATGAGCAAGCGTGAATGCAACTAAAGATCTCTCACTAGCATGAGGATTCTGAAGACTTAAAAAGAAAAGCCCAGTCCATCACGTCCAGCTTATATTAGGTAAGCCAAATGGGCACTTGGGTGCACAAAATGAGTAACTGAATGTCTAAATGCTATTTTATGGGCAAACACTCCAAAGGTACACATGTATCAAGTTGAGGCACTCCAGACTGTGAGAATTTCACACAAATGTGAGATCTGTCATTATGCTTCAGGTATTTAATTTTATAAAGTTCTATGCAAGACTCAAGTCCATAGGCATTGTACGACGGTCCTGTTTCCTGTTCCCACCTCAATATACCGTGACTTTGTACTTAACTAACTGATGATGAAGACCTGCGTGTATACACAGTGAGTGTCAACTTGCTTCACAAAGTTGGGGCAAAGGAAAATATAGGGCCCACGCAGGGCATAATTTTAAATGGTCTCTTGAGAGCACTCAGAGCAAATCTTGCTTTTGCCCTGACTCTCTCTCTCTCCCCTACCTCCTCACTACCGAGAAACTCTTCTTGTCACACCAAGCCTATGTTAGAATCACTGAAGAGTGATTTCCCCCAGAAATAGGAACAGGATAGATGTGTAAAAACATAAAAGCCTCCTTAGATCTTTAGCTTCATGCTATGGAGGGAGCATGGCAGTGTCACCAACCAGCCAAGCTGAACAGCATTGGCTGCAGGACGAGAATTTGGCCCTAGTAAGATTTAAGGTTTGGATCAACACCTATATAGTTTAATTACTTAGCTGCATTCAAAGAGCATGTGAACACACACAAAAACCCGTATAAGTCTTGTGTATTACATTACTTATTACCAACTAACAGACGAGCCAAGAACATAATATTCACACTACAAACAACATACACAAAGGTGTAGTTATTTTGGCACGCAAGGCTAACAGTCAGTTAAGAGGACATGTACTAGTGCAACACATTACATTTGCTCTATCATAAAGGTAAAAGGTTTGCTTCTTGGCCAGTGCAAACAGAATTCTTATTCATGGATGACACGTACATGCCCCCGGAATACATGCATCACTGAAAGGCAGGGTTATGTTTTGAATATCATACATGCAGGCACAAAGAATTAAAATTTATTTTATAACTATGACAAGCCTTAAGGAAAAAACCTATCAATTACAACTTTAAAGTTTTGGTTTTGGAGAAAGATACACAAGGATTTTCTCTACAGATGGTTACAGATGGCTGGGATACCTATCACTTGCAAGCCAAACCCATAGCAGTCTTTTGCCTTTTAGTTCTGGCTAATTCAAGCTACCATAAAAAAATATTAATTGAGCCAATAGAGGGAAAACATGGGTGACTGAAATGTTAATTCATGAACAAAGCTTTCTATAATGCCAAAAACCTGTCAGAGGAATTTTTAGTTTTGGTTAAGGTAAGTAAAATACATGGAAAATACCATACTTCAATCCAAAATATCTTTGAAGGACAATCTCTACACAAGTTGTGACGTGAGTAGTTTTGAAATCCCCCTTTCCCTTCCCTAAAGTGAAAAAGAGTTAAAAAATATTGTAGGTTTAAAAAAAAAAAAAAAAAAAAGTGGCTAGATCTTGGCTGCTGTCCAATGTTCAACATTTCCTTTGGGATTCCAAATATTTGATTACAATTAATGACAACTGTTCATACAGGACTGTTGAAACAATGTATGTTTTTTAATGTCTGCTTTTCAGTAACACTATTGTGATAGCTTTCATAGCCACAGAAAGTAGGACAATAATTTTTGTTTCTGATATTTCCATATTGATAAGATTGTTGCAAAACTCTCAACAAGTAACTAAAGCACATGGAGTGCTAGAGGAAATTAGTAAGCAAGCACTAATAAGAGAACCCATTTGACTTCTGCATATTTTATTTAAAAACTAGGTTACTTTTAGAAAATGATTTGTAAGGACTAGTCTTTTGCCTCAGTGAGGATTTTTTCTTGTCCTCAATCTTGCAAAGGCTTTGATGGCCAGGTTAAGCCTCAGTGAAGATACAGGTAAGATTGTGTACTGCCATGCTATTTAAGGTTTTGATTTTAAATTAACAGTGTAATGTGAGTTTGTTCTTTAAGGCAGTTATTGCTAAAAGTTACCTGAACTTTCTGGTCACATTTCTTTTGGTAGCATGTTCAGTGCTAACAAAAGCAAAGATAGTTAGGAATAACAGGGGTTTACAGAAGATGTCGTATAGAAGAGTGCTGCATAGTATAAGATGCTGAAGATCAGACTGGAAATCTAGATGGAATGAATTGAGATGCCCAAAAAAAGGAGATGAGTGTAAACCTTATTAGGTACCCATGCCCTCACTTCAGACATGACATTTTTTTACAGTCTGGAGTATGATGCACAGGAAAAGCATATGCCCTACAACACTCCAAGGGTTGAAAATGGGTCACCTCCTGCACTATCCTTTCCCCTCATCTCTGAGGTGCCAGCTATACTTGCGGTCCTGAGAGTTGAGGGAATGGCAGATGAACAAGAAAATGTACTTTGCCTCATTCCCAAGCAGGCCTGGAACTTACGGCTAACATTCAAGCTAGTATTTAGACTTTTAATTTCCTACAGATATTAGTGGAAAAGTAAGAGCTTAAGTAGGTGGCTGAACCCCTAATACACAGCTGCATATGGTGCTTTTATTCATAGTCCTTATCTTCCACATCAAGTGCAGTAAAAGGGAAAAATCTTTCCAAAGTGCTATCTTTCCAGCCACAACTTGCCTTTGTCACTGTCATATCAGAATGACTTCTTTTCATGCATCTGTTTGATTGAGTTTTAAAACTATCCAACTGTAGAAATGAAGAAGAAACAAAGCAGGGTGTTCCTCAAAAGACTGCTATCTGAAGCATCTTCTAAGGTCCTGATCCAAAGCTTACTGCGCCACTGAAAGTATTTCAAAGAACTTTGCATCAGGTCCACACAAAGAGCTTTGGTCCGTGGCAGGGATTTTATAATGTACAAGTAATGAAAGTAAACTCTGGCAGAACCCCAGCTAGTTCCATCAGCCTCTTCTAAGCAAACAAAGTAGCTCAATTTCTATTCAGTGTCAGCCTGGATCTGTCTGCATTCTCAATTTCTTTGCCTGCCTTCTATCTTCTGAGCATGCTGGTCTCTCTCACACTGTGAGCTAGCAACTTAAAACCTAATTATACCTTAAAACCTTCCTAACCAATCACTCCTCCTACGTAGCAAGAGTCTGGCATTACTGACACTCAGTGTGTGGGTACCTGAGAAAGCCTGTCACTTGTGCACCTCAGGTTAAATATCACCCGATGTGCCAGACAAGGCAGCTAGTTAGCAACAAACAGCCAGATCAACAGTGTGCTACAGTAGACTGGGCTTCACCCTTCATTCGGGCTGGGTCCAGATCTTTTCAGTTACCAGTAAGTTACGAGTCAAGTCTTAAAAGCCAATGGGAAGAACCGGGACACTGGTTTTGCCTGTAACTTAGCTGAAGGATTTATCAAGGGTTAGAGGCTTAGCCTTTTTTCTCACAAAACCCAGGACTATCCCGGAGCCTTCTTCAGGTGCACAGGCACCAGTGACGTAGAAGAAAGTTCTCTACATCTAGACCGTTCACTACCATGCTGGAATAATTTAGCCATTGTTGGTATCACAGTATGCTATTTTCTGCCTCAGAGTGTGACAGGTCACCAGTGCAACACAGGAGTGGATAATCCTTCATTCCATGGAAATTTTTCTTCAAGAACAATGGGTAACCCTTGGAAAAGCTTCACGGAACTGGATGCTTCTCATCCTGAGCACCCTTACATACATCAAAAATCTTCCCAGGTAACTAGAGCCAACCATGGGAAAAGCCATTTAAATCTTTACGAGAACAAGTGCTGAGTTTTGGCAAACTTCCCTCCCTCTCCAAAACAAAACCCCAAATAAATTATAAACAAACAAAAAAATCTCCAAGTCCACAAGGAAGTCCTTGCCTTTGTTTACTATTGTTGTTTTGGTTTCAGGCTGATGTACAGGCTCAAAGGGTCATTGGAGGCAAAGTTACAAGAAAGGCTACCATTCAATGTCAGAAAAATAAAATACAAACAGTTTAAGGGCTGAAAACCAGTGCTTTGTTTCCGGACATCAGCCAAATACAGACTGCTGACCTGCATGGCACATGACAGCACACACCGCTCACTAAATTTGATGTACTCTGAGTGGGATGCTGATACGGGTGGGAGGAGAGCAATAAATTTATTAACCTTTATTCAGAGTCAAGCATGAAAATCAGTGCATGAGCACTTTTTGAAAGAAAGCAAGGCAGAACTGCTAGTAGCTGGGTTTTAGAGAAACAGAGTAATACATCAGGGTACTTGTTCAGCTCTTGCGGAAAACTGGACCAGCCTTTTCTCTCCTTTTTCACCAATATACAAAAATGAGTTATTTTTATTCCTATTGAGCTGTTTTGGCATTCTGGGCCCCAGGCAGGTCATACTCAGCTGCCTGTACCTTAAGCCTGTGGGACTGGCGCTCCTTCCATAGCAGTGGAAAGCCATTCCATCAATACTATTACTCCCCAGTTAGGCGGCAAAAGTGAAAAGAGAATCAAATCCCTTGGCTTCAAAGAAAACTAACATAAAATGTAGCCCAGTTAGAATAGTATATTTTTGTGGGCAAATTGCACTTAATTACATGGATATTAATTGTAAATGTCCTTATTCCAAGGGGCCATAAACTTTCCTTACATATGTTATAGCTTGAAGGGAGTATGTGCCAATGTACGTGCATAATAACATTCACTTAATAGCAATCTGATTGGCAGTGTTTAGTCATAATCAATATTTTAAAGCATTATTAGCTTAATGCCCCCTTCATTTCAAATGTGAGGCAGTGCAAACTTGAAAACAGACTGCAAAAAGCTTTAATAGACTTTCTTAGTAATGTTCCTCTCCTCTCAGGTTAGTACAACAGCTCCATCCAAATCCAGCCAGTCAGAACCATGCTACAGTACACGCAGTAACAAGCACAAAGTATAGACAGGAGGAAAGTAAGGGCTGATATTTTCCCTCTCTTTCTGTTGACATAAAATACTTTAGAACCTATATTGTCCCAGAAATAGCTTTTTTTTTTTTTCAGTTTTTCATGAGTGGTGTATGACATTCACAGGCTAGCACCTTGTATATTTCAACCACTTACTCCCCAATAGTATATTGTTGAATGTTTTAAGGAAAGTGCCAGATCCCGTATAAGACATTTTAAAAAAAAACCAAAACAGTAGTCAAATCAAACTGCATAAATAATGGGATATTATTCAGAAAGACTGCTACGAAAGACCCTCTTTTCAAGAGGTTCTCTTCGACATCATCAGGGCAACTGGACATTTAGGAATGTTTGAGATCTTTTCCTTGAATTGACAAAGTGTGGTATAACTGCTCTTGACTTTTTTTTTTTTGCCTAAAGCTCAACAAAACTATGTATTTTTTGTACCGATATGTTTATTTTTGCCAATATACGCATGAGGAATGTAATGAAGTGGCGTTGTGCTGCAAGTAGCTCAGCAGATGTTGAAATCAGTTCCAGTTCCTGAAAACAACTTCTTGACAACATAGTCTTAGCATTCACAATAACCAAAACATGTGGGATTCATCTACATCATTCTTACAAATATATTCTCTTTCCCCCCCCCTTTCTCCCTCTGTGATGTAAACCCTCAGCCTTACTTGCTTCCTTGTACTTTATGATCATATGTGCCTGCATGCTTATAGCCAGATACATATCCTGAAGCATCCACCAGATCTTCTCGGCCAGCTTTGCCTTTTCCTTTCCCACTGGGATCAAACCTCTCTTTGTGAGAGCCCGTGAATTTTGATGTATCTGTAAGGCGTGATACAGTTGGAGATGAAATGGCTTTCTATTGGGAGAAAGAAAAGAAACAAAAAAACCCACATCAGAAATCAGTTATTCTTAATACAGATATTTATACATTCTACCAACATTTAAATCTTTGCTAATGATGGAGACTATGTAAATACTCACTTCCAGCAAAAGGATACAAAAAAAAGTTTGTTTCTTGCCATTACATACAATGACAATAATCATATAGCCAAGAACAAAATAGTGCAAGTTATGTCAAAAACTTTGGAAGAGACTTTCAGTATGATACTTCTGATTAACAATCAAGTTCTAAGCACCAAGGATATGGAGAAGTCATAGGGAACATGTCCACATGTTCAAAATTCATTACATCAACATCCAAGCATAAAAGCCTGGCTCCACCGATATAGAAAAAGCAAACCAATACAGCTAGAATTCATTGCTTCAAGAGACAAATTTATTCTAAACTCTAGGATTCATGAGAGAAGTAACAAATTAGAAGGACTGAAAGTTGTTTTCAATATTAGCAAATCCGCAGTCTATGAAACGGCATTGAGCAAAGACTTTCCTCTACATTGCTTCCACTGAGTTATTTCAGGCCACTTAAAAATCAAAGTTTTGCTGTCATTGAGACAAAGAAAATTTGACTACACGAACAGAAAGAAAAAGATATTTCACAGAACAATATAGGAGCATGCTAACCTGTGTGCTTGGGCTGGGAGCAGTCTCTTTGATCCTTAAATTTACATTTTAAAATCAGAAGAGAAAGGGCACTAAAGGGGCAGGGAAAACACAAAAGATTTTTGTGTAGTAGTGAAAATGGAGCTAAGATGGACGAAGATGGAAAGAATTTGGGTATCTTTCTTATGTGCACCACCCTGTTAGGGTGCATTTTAGAGACAGAAGTGACATGGGCTTCACTGTAGTGAAGTAAATGCTCTGGGAAACTTACCTTTCATCAAAAGCCTCATTCCCCCTCTACCCATCCTCAGCCCAAATAAATGCTCATTAATGAGACCTAACAAACAGGCTTTTGAAGTAACACATAGCTCCTCCAGAGGATGACATCTGTCAAATATCTTTTAATGCTGAACTTTAAAAGATCAGAGACTTGGAAAAGATGCTTGAATCTGTACAAAGAGGAACAGGATACTTGGATTCAGTTAAACTGGGAATGAATGCTGTAACTTGTACACCATGGAAGCCACGTGTCCTCCACACCATTTAAATAAAAGCTGTTTTGAGGGAATTTGTCCACATACATAACTACTTAATGAAAATCTCAGGTTGTAAACTTCTTTTTTTTTCTCCACCAAACACACAACACATACAACACTCCACTGCTCTGCAGCATTACTTTCACATAAGGCCCTGAGGGGAAAGAAAGGTGGTGTGGAGGTGGGAATTCTGTCACTATCTCAAAGAGAACGGCCCCTAGAGCATGAATTTCTCAAAATGGTATTGCTGAACAACCTTTAGGGACTTTTGCCTTGGTGTCTCAGAGTACTATTTGCAGAAGTGGTTATTTTTCTCTATTGAAAAACAGAAATGAAGACAATGCTTAAGAAGAAGTAATGCTTCTATACATGCAGTTTTCTTGTCCGCCTTGGCCTGCTAGCACCTTGTAACCAGGAAACCTATATTCACAGTAGAGCTAATTAAAAAAAAAAATACACCCTGTGATCAGTAATTGTGTTAGCAGCCCAGCTAGATAAGATGAAAATGCAATAAAAATGTATAAGCTGAGACATTAAAAGCAGCAAAGTAAAAATTTCCAGCCCGGTGCCCAGCTGCAAATTTATTTTTTCTGCTCCTCAGGATATTAGTAAATCAAACAGGTTGTACACTCAGTCACACAACAGAACCAAAGGATTGTCTGGCCACTGGAAACTACTCTGACAACTCGGAGAAAACAAAGACACATACTTCTGTAAGAGTGCATAACCTGTTAGCTTCACCCTGGGCACAGGCACTAGGAAGCCTGTGCTATTTTAAGTCTTACTTGTGAACCAACCACTGTTTTGTTTGGTAAGTGAAGGGAAACATGGGGGCTTGAACCTTGAACAAAAATTCTGACACAAACCAGTAGGAATAAGCTTTAATATGGTGTAGTGTCTCCTGTTATGCAGTGTTCACGAGTAAGAACCCAGCCACTACTTGAAGACAAACTGTCATACTGCTTGACTGAACAAAGTCTTCCACCAACCACCATTTTGAGCCATGAAGCATCTATAGCAGTGGGCAGTACATGTGCCTCACCTAACTCATATAAATACGCAGGCTCCCCACTTCATTTTCAGTTTAAAACCTCCGCAGGTCATAATAGCTGCAGGAGCATACGAATAAAGGCTGACTGTAGGACAGAATACATGTAGGGATGTTTCTTATGTTTCTTATGCTTGTTTAAGTTATTACTAGATCATTCTCCCTCCAAAAGAACATATGATGCTTCTTACTAAAGACATTAACTGTTAGCACACTTCTTGTGTGTTCTTAAGAACTTACTAAGAAAATAAAGATCCCATCCGTGACTCTCCCAATGTAAGCCAGCAAGGAAAAAGCTAGGGCACGATACTTGCCAAAGTATCTTTCATCGTCCCTAACATCAGAAGCAGCTGCTATAGAAGATGCAAGAAAGCTTACCGTATAATCAAAGGACTAAACTTTGCTCTATGTTTACTTAAATAACACTATTGCTAAAAGCCAAAGGATGCTACCAGTGACAAAAGCTTTTAGTACCATAAACATGGAAATATTCCAAATGCAAGCCAGGGGCAATATTCAGTATAAAGTTAATTAAACGTAACACATATTTACTTTCCTTGTATTTCATCAAATAGGTTTTCTCTAAATGTGTATACACTCTGCATTCTCACATGCAGAGAGAAGTCTCAGAAACTCTAGCTGACTGCCTTTTCCTTTACCAAATTAATTCTCAGGACAGACTGCTATTCTGAGAATTTGTAATGGTAAGTTTAATCATTATTTGGAAAAAGAAGGACTACAGCTTCTACTCCTCTGTTTCAAAGGGGTGGCATGATCAGTATGAAATTTGCCTCAATACCCTAATTACAATAAACATAAATAAGAATTTTGTTACAGTAACAATTGTAACAGACATACTAAGACTTGTGTGAGTGCAATATGAAAGAAAAATGAACAACAAAACCAACTATGGAGACTAAACTGGCAATTGAGCAAAGGGCAAAAACAATTAAAAGGGTAGCTGGGAGCTCATTCTTCTGTGCAACTCAGCCGTTCATTACTAATTGGGCATTGGGAGGCAAATTAAAAAAAAAGGGGGCGGTGGGAGGACCTGACCATCCCTCATCAGTGAAGAAAAATGTAGGAAGAAATATAGTGAACAGCACAAAGGGCTGGATGAGGACAATTTCCATCTTCGCAAGTCAACACTCTTCTTTTTCACAATGAATCACAGACAAACGATGCTGTCCTGTCATATAGCAATTCTGCTTGAACAGTTTACTAGCTAGAGTAAGTTACATAATCTCTCTAGCTACGTTTTTCTAAAGGCAATAAATTACTTGGAGCCAACCTCCTCCTTTCCTTTCTCTGAGCCCACAGAAACCTCCATTTTCCTTCTCTTATTTGCACATACTGTTAACCACAAAATTTGCTTATCACAGAAGATGTACATGACCTTAAAATTTTTGGTTTTATTTTTTTTTAAAAACTTTCTCTCTAAGAGAAAAGTTTTACTTAGCACAACAGAATCAAGTATAATCCCTGTATAAACTCTTTTTGGAACACCAAATGAATCAATCAAAGGTACTTTCAAAAAATATCAGGACTTCTGTTCTCCAGGACTGACCATTCTTCCCTTACTCAGTTATTTCCATGAACACAAGACAGCAGCTGTAATTTCAGTGTCTTTGCCTCTACCAAAAGAAGAGATCAGTGACAAAAGACCTGTTCATTCACCAAGCTTATATTTTTACTGATATTTTGCTGGACCATTGTGCTCCCCCTAATCTTAAAAAAATCTTTTAAAAATGGCTGTTGTTCCTTCACTGTCAGTTTCCAACCAAATATGTGGTCACAGAACCTCCAAGTTCATGGAAACATCTCAGATGAGTCAGGAAAGATATGTATGCCTCCCACCTCTTTCAACCAAAACTCCTCTCACACCAAAACCTCACTGAGAAGATCAGAACCGGCCACAGTCTCACAAGCAGCTATGGGAAATAAAAAGAAATTTTATTTGGACCAGTAGATTTGCTAATTTAAAGTGATTATGCATTTTTTGTTAGCAATTCAGTATTTTTCCTGCTTTGTGTCAGTGTTTACAAAGAAGTGCTGCTAAGACAGCGAGGAGCTTGGAGCGTGTGGCATACAAGGAGAAGATGACAGAAGGGTGTTTATTCAGACTCAAAAGAAAATAAAAAGAGGGGAGGCAAATCTTATTCCTGTTCTCAACAGAGGGGTTATATTAGAAATAGAGCCAGTTCTGAAGTTCATAGCAAAAAAAAAAATTAAAAAAAAATATATAATGGACATGATTTGGAAGATGGGAAATTTGAGCTAGACACATGGGAAAAAATTCTTCACTACTGTGGCTGGCCAGGCACAGAAATGGCTTACCTAGAGACTGTGGATTCTCTATCCCTGGAGATTATAAAAACTTAAAATCATGAAGTCACTGAATAATTTAGGTTGGAAAGAACAGTTGCATACGTGTCCTTATCTAACACAAACCCCTGCTCACAGCGGGGCTCAAATGAGCTTGCACAGAGACTTCTCCAGTCAAGTCCTGAACACCTCCAAAGACAGAGGTTCCACAGGCTCTCTGGGCAACTTGTTCCAGTATTTGACTGTACCCAGGGTAAAAAACAAAACAAAACAAAAAATCCAACATCTCATCCAAATTACAAATTAGGCATGTTCCAACTTCTGTCTGTCTGAAACAGCCCTCATACCAAAGACAGGAAATGAAAGCTGTAGAGTCTTTTTAAACCCTGAAACCCTTAACAACAGTGCCATATGCCTGCTTCCTCCTTCCTTACAAATGACACCTCT